AGTTTTAATGATTGTCTGTGAAGGAACATGATCGCTTGGGTTTTCGAGGCGTTGATTTTGATTTTCCACGTGGTGGCATAATCAGTAAAGGTGTCAAGGCATCGTTGGAGCTTGTTCGTAATTTCACGAGGCATCCTACCCTTGACGGCTATCGCGGTGTCATCTGCAAACAGAAAGAACACGCAACCGTCTCCTAGAGGAGGGATGTCCGACGTGTAGATGCTGTAAAGCAGTGGTCCCAGCAGACTCCCTTGCGGAACACCTGCTGGGATCGGAAATTGTCCCGAAAGGGAACTATTCAACGACACCCTGAACGACCTTTGCTGGAGATAGTTACGGGTGATTTTCACAAGGTATGGTGGAAAGTTGGAGTTACAAAGCTTGTATATAAGTCCGTCGTGCCAGACATTGTCAAACGCCTTTTCGACGTCTAACAAGGCCATGGCTGTGGACTTGGATACAGCTTTGTTACTCCGGATGTTATTCATCACCCGCACTAGCTGATGATTGGTGGAATGCCCCTTACGGAACCCGAACTGTTCCGGAAGAAGAATGTCATGTTCCTCCACAAACTTGTTTAGTCGGCTTAGGATCAATTTTTCGAACAGCTTGCTCAGCGCTGAGAGCAAGCTAATCGGTCTGTAGCTTGACGGTAGTGAAGGGTCTTTCCCAGGTTTGCGGATCGGGATGATTTTTGCCACCTTCCAGATGCTTGGAAAGTAGTGCAGCTCCAAGCATCTGTTGAGGATGGCAGCCAGCAGCGAGTGCACCCTCGCGCTGAGATTTTTCAACTCTAGGTTGAATATTCCGTCAAACCCGGGAGCCTTTATGTTCGTACTGTGTTTCAGCGCTGAGCAAATTTGTTCCTCTGTAATCCGTTCTTCTGGAGGGACGGCACAAGGGGAGGCATCTAACGTCTGGACGCACTGCACAACCTGGTTCTCGAGTGGACTTGGGATTGTAGAGCCAAGCAAATGCGACTGGGCAATGTGCTCCCCAATCGCATTGGCCTTCTCTTCGTTGGTGATAAGCCGTTCGTCATTGACTCTAAGTGGTGGAATGGGCTTGGGGTGAGACTTCAGCACCTTGGCAACCTTCCAGAATGGTCTGGAACGGTCGTCCAGGTTCTGAACGAGCCGCCCGAAACTCTCGTTCCGGATTGAGACCATTCTGGAAGCGATCTGCCGATTCAGATCGACCATTTCGTATTTACGCTGCAGATCCCCAGTCCGCTGAAACTGGCGTCTACGAACATTTCTGAGCCGAATCAAGAGTTTGGTGTGGGAATCAATTGCTTGAAACTTACCCCTCACAGGAACTCGTCGAACGCACTCTTCGTCAGCCACGGATATGGCTTGATGGAGACCCTCCAGGGCCCGGTCGATGTCCTCCACTGTGTCGAGCGGTGGGTTGTCGTCGATGTGGCGGTCGACCACGCGTCGAAACTGGACCCAGTTGACTCGATGGTAGTCCTTCCGCTGGCACGGTGCAGGGGCCACGTTGTAGCCCAGCTCGGTCAGCACCGGTTGGTGGTCCGAACTCAGGTCGTTGACGGCAACCGGCTTGGCTAATCTGGTGTTTGCCAAGAACAGGTCCAGCGTCGATGGGTTGCCCGTCGGTGATGTGAAGGTTGGTTCGTCCGGAAACCAGACGGAATAGAGACCATGCTGGGAATGGTCGAATAGCAGGCGGCCGTTCTGGTTCTGCTGGTAGTTCCGCCAGGCCTCGTGCCGGGCGTTCAGGTCCCCTCCGATTACAAAGCGGGCATTGGTGTGGGTTATGATGGCAAGGTCGTTCTTGAACTGCTGTGCTGTACCATTGCTAACGGTACATTGCCGGGGGCAGTAGACAACGATGAACCGGACGTTTCCGGTCGATGTTTCCACCTCAACGCCGACGGCCTCGATGATGGAAGTGCGGTAGTGGGGTAGGGTGCAGTACTTGATGCCTTTCTTGATGATGACCGCGACACCGCCCCCCCTGGAGCTGGTGCGATCAAGCCGGACAATGCTGTGGTCGGGCAGCCAGAAGGTGTCATCGGTCTTGAGGTGGGTCTCGGTGAGAAGGCCCACGTCGATGTCGTGCTTGCGGAGGAAGTCTGCAAGCTCAATGTTTTTCGCCCCTACGGAGCGAGCGTTCCAGTTGGCGATCTTTATGGGTTCACGGTCCATAATTAGCGACGAAGGAGATGATAGCTTGGAGCTGTTGTGTTCTTGTTGCGCAGGTGCGCTTGATGATGATGGCCTGGGCCAACAGTGTGACGATCTCATCCGTTGACAGCGGAGAATCGTCTGTAGCTTCACCGGTTGTACCGGCCAATCCCGGAGCAGGGGGATCCGTCGATGGGCCGGAGGCTTGACTGGGTACTGCAGCGGCAGCCGACTGGGCAGCAGCCAACTGTTGGTTGAGCGGGAGCGGCGCCAACACTGGAATTGGCCGTGGTTGGACCGGTGATAACGGAGGAAAGTTCTGCGCGTTGTTTTCCGGGACCTTCTTGCGACCGGGCTGGTTGTTGGACGAGGCCTTCTTCCGGATCTCGGCGTATTCGGCCCGCTTCGGACAGGCCTTACTCGTGGCCTTGTGGGCAGCACCGCAGTTGGCGCATGTGGGAGCGGCTTCCTCGATGCTGTCGCAGTCGTCGATCTTGTGGTTTTTGCCGCATTTGATGCAGCGGCTGGCCATGCGGCAGTTCCTGGTGCCGTGCCCGAACAATAGGCAGTTCGAGCACTGAGTGACGCCACGGTGGGTTGGCTTATACCACTCCCACTTCACTACGATGTGGAACAGTGTGCGTGTCGTATGGAGATCCTTCACGGTTGTGGAGTTCTTCTGCAGATGGACCAAGTAGAGCTGGTCACGATACTTGATGGCCTTGCTGCGGGTCATCTTGTGGATTTCGACCGGCTTGAGGCCGTTCGCCTTAATCTCGTCCATTAAGGTGGTGGTGTCCATGTCGTGGAGCCCGCGCAGCACCACTTTCAGCGGCTTGGTGGCCTCGACGTCGTGGGAGAAGTACTCCAGCTTCATCCTGTCCAAGAGGGCCTGGACTGCGTTGTAGTGATTTTCGGCCGAGACCATCAGTTTGTAGCCTTCCGTGCACCGTTGAATGGTGCAGCGAAGGCCCTGCTTAATGTAGAAATCCAGCTGCTCCCATAGCCCGGGAGGGAAGCCCTTCACATAGAAGGGTGGCAACTTAACTTTTTTAGGCACCGTCTCAGGGTCCGACTGCGGCTGGGCTCCGTTCTGCAGGGCGGAGAACGGATTGTTGCTCAGCAGCTTTTTTGCTGCCGATGCGGTGGCGCTGATGTCTTCAGGTCTGGGTCGTTTAGTTCCGGGAGGCCCCGGCTGCGGGTCCGCAACGCCTGTCGGGACGGGCAATGGGGTTTTCTTCTGCTTCTTCTGAGCTGGCTCGGTGGTCGCGCCGTCTCCTGGGAGAGTCTGTTTTCCCGGTAAGCCGGCACTCGCGTTACCGCGCGATTTCTTACCCATGGCTGGGTCAGCGAGAGCGTCACTATACAACGCGGAGCTAATTCGACTTGCGAACGCCCCCCGATTCTTTATTCTTCGAAACCTTTTATACATGAATTTGTTACTTAAACTCTACACAATAGTTTTTCTCCAGTATGTACATAAAAAGCGAGACAGATAGTTTTTCTCTTGGAAAGTCGGTGTCTGTTTTTTTTTTAATAAGAATTAATGCTCCTCGCGGTAGGAACATACGAACATAGCCGAAGATGTTTACTCATCAATGTTTACTTTGACCTTTCGCGAAGCACCGAGTTAAGCCAGCGCGCATCGCAGACGACGCGGTAGCAACTGTTTATAAACAACTGTCCCTGAAATGTGCGACATTGTCACTGCTGCTGTTAAGTTGTGTATTTTCTCCTACCGTATGGGGGTCTATTACTGGTTAATTTCTTACTCAGATTGATATTGGAATTTGAGGCCTTTGCATCAGTTCGGAAAAATTTAAATCAATGCAGAAAACCTTGGATTCATTTAGGAAGAGGATTAATCAACTAATGTTGCCTAACTTCAGAAAAAGCAAAATTAATTATTTTAAGCTTGGATTCGGAATATGTTGAATCACTTCAGGAAAGCTATTTGTTCCGGCCTTAATTGAAAAAAAAGCCTTCCCATGATAGATGTAGAGATGCGGAAGTCACAAGCAACGACGTCTGTCAAACTAAAAATACTTCCTTTACCCGAAGACCGGCCGAACAATGCACACTAATAGCGAATTCGTTTATTATCGGGGTTGGAACCAGTTCCAACCCAGTGCGAAACCGAACTTTTCGTCAGTGCGAACCTCAACCTGACCTAGGTTTTAAAAACAAACGAGCAAACTGACGTTTGTCAGAAAACAAGCAGACCCAATGTTGATACCCGATCCAGGTTGGAACTGAATAATAAACGAATTCGCTATAAGACTGGATTGCTAATCCAAAGCCCCGTTCATTCGGTTATCTGTGCAAATTTCGCTGGATTTGGTCGATCGCGGATGTCCATTCAATACCTGTAAATGAATCCGTTATGGGAAACAGCTATCAGCGTTTGTCAGCCAATCAATTTACACTGTTGATTGCTAGTAGAATCTCATGTTGGAACAAAATATGATATCTCGTGGTATCATCATATCTCCATCAACCGACTGCCTTCAAAGAAAAAAAAAACAGTAGTACTTTTGTTATGAAGTAACGTTTCATAAAAAATCACCAAACCCATATCTTTTGCAATTCAATGACCCAAAAGTGCACCACCTGACAGGGTCGTATTCAAATTTAAACCAACAAAATACTCACTTTCTTGCAAGCTGTCATAAATCGTAGAATTGTTCAATCGATAAACTCCTTCGGTATATCCACTTTCAGTCAATTGCAATACACCCCTGGTTCTTATCGAAATGACTCTGCACTGATCTCGAACCCTCAAAGTATAAATATTCGCTCCCAATCGTTTCCCATTCAATAGTCCTCTCAGCGGACAAGTTACCAGTAACGATGAAGTTCCCAGAAACATCGCTTGTTCTAGTCGTGCTGTTGGCGCTATCTGCAGGTGTATCCTGTCTTAGGTCTTCGTTGTCGTTTTCGGGGATTGCCAAACAGGTACTCGGTGAAGAAGAGTTGCCCATTGAGGACGATAATGGCGCGCAGGAATATCTGTCACAGCCAGGAAATGAAAGCAATGTAGAATGGGATCCAATGTGTCCCCTGGAAGGAAGCGGGGCTGTTTGCTTGGATTCCAGCCAGATCTCGGTTTGCTTGAGAGGAAAAGTGCTTCCGGCACGAGATTGTCCGAAGGATGCTCCTTATTGCGTGAATTCAGCGTTGGGAGGTTATTGCTCGGTGAAGCCGGACGAGGAACGGGAAGACGACCGAACTAATTTCCAGTGTTCGTCGGAGGGATACTTTCCTGGTAAGTCAAGGCTCTAAGCTATGGCGATGATTTCGGTTGATTTAACTGATTTGTACGTGAACAGATCCACACAACTGCAACTTCTTCCACCTGTGCGATTCGGATTTGAAGGCCACCAAGTACCACTGCATGTCTGGCTACATGTACGATATGGTGCAGAAGAATTGCCGTAGACAGAGCTATGGGGAGGAATGCAAGAAACTGGACTGCGGGAAGTCCAACGGAGTATGGGTATATTACGAAAGCAACAAGCAGTACTACGGCTACTGCTACCAGACGGAGGCATCGGAAGAAGTAATACTGTTCAAGTGCACTGACGGGTCCGAGTTTGACGGGCAGCAGTGCCAGTTCAAGTGCAGAGCGGAGGGGAAGTTTGCCGATACGCAGGATTACACGAGATACTTCGAGTGCTACTACGTTGGATTAACACTGCACTCGCGAGTGAAGACTTGTACCAAGGGAATGGTTTTCGATACCAGAGCCAAATTCTGTTTACCTTCTCGAGGAATGTTGCATCATTAACCCTTGTTCCCTAATTTAAATTGCCGCATCCTTTTCCTTTCCGATTTCTAAAATTACAAATAATATTTAAAATAAATTGAGTGGACTTTCAGTTTACATTATCAGCCTTTTTTTGGAAGGGAGTATCTCTCGGGGGGAGGGGTTTATTGTAAAAATATACCCATGAAGTGACATATTTTGGTGTTAGAGATCTTTATATCACGAGATTCCAGCCATAAAGGGTTTCGCTTCCTTCTGCAAAGATATTCAGAAATGATCAAGTTGCACCATGTTAAATACATATTGCCGTCGACCCGTGGTGATAAGACCGTTTTTAATCTGTGTGCAAACTAAAAATGGGTCAAACCTAAGAGGAAGAGAAGACAATACGGGGGCGAAAACGAACCACCCGAATAGAAATTGTAATGTAGGAAACATCAGCAGACATCTTCAATACATTAAATTTTAACGTGTATTGCTGTAATCTTAATGTATTCAGACGTCAGTGTGACGTCCAAGTACATAAAAATACATTAGCCTCAAACGTTACATCAGAATCAAACGTCTTGACGATGTAAAATTTGACATCAGAATACATCCAATGACAACAGAACCTAACGTTACATTAGAATCAAACATCATCACGATGTAATTTGTTGCACGCATAAAACATCAGAATACATCCAATGACAACAGAACCTAACGTTACATTAGAATCAAACTTCATCACGATGTAATTTGTTGCACGCATAAAACATCAGAATACATCCAATGACAACAGAACCTAACGTTACATTAGAATCAAACATCATCACGATGTAATTTGTTGCACGCATAAAACATCAGAATACATCCAATGACAACAGAACCTAACGTTACATTAGAATCAAACATCATCACGATGTAATTTGTTGCACGCATAAAACATCAGAATACATCCAATGACAACCGAAGCTAACGTTACATTAGAATCAAACATCATCACGATGTAATTTGTTGCACGCATAAAACATCAGAATACATCCAATGACAACAGAACCAAACGTTACATTAGAATCAAAGTTCATAACGATGTAAATTGTTGTCCCTCGGTCTCTCGCCGCATGCAATGTTTGTTTTTCCTGAGTCAGCACTACACGGCGAATGAGAACGACCCAAATTTGAGGTTAGTTCACTCATAAATCGCAAAAAGTGCAGGAACTCAGTTTTGAATTAATTTCCCTCATGTTCCGAATATGAGAAAAGCAAAGATTGGATTCTCTGGATTCTCGTAAATTTTCCTTATTTTAGGGCAGATTTTTGAGGTTTTCCACAGGAAAACATGCGGCAAATTTACTCATCCTGCACTTTTTTCGATATTGAGTACACTGTACTCAAATTTGCGTTGATCTCATTGGCCGTGTACAGTTTTTTTTTCGCAGTGGGAAAGAAGTTTTGGCTGTGGGCAATGTTTATTTGTATGTAAAACAATGCCCTGGTGACGTTACAGTGCAAGAGTTAATTAGTGTTTTAATTGATTATTATCGTTTCAATTGAAAACCGATTTTACTCTTGTTCTGTACGTTAAACATAACGTCGGCTATAGTGTGCTGTACACGCTAACTTGAAAGTACCTATTAATGGTTGAAAAAGACCCATTTTGAAGAAAAGTGGCTTAACTCATTAAATGAGTAAATTTTTTACCCATTAATGAGTATCTGTTACCCATTAATGAGTAATTGTTAATCATTAATGGGTAACAGATACTCATTAATGGGTAAAATTGTTTAATCATCAATGAGTTAAACCACTTTTCTTCAAAATGGGTCTTTTTTTACTCATTAATGAGTACTTTCAAGTTAGCGTGTATACCGCATCCGTGTATACGAACACACTTCCCTAATAAAAAATAACCATAAACGAACGATAACCCAAATCATTGAACTATTCCACAAATGGTTTGGATGATACCCAGAACACGTCGTTAAGCAAATTAACCATACAATTTTTATTAGGGTTACTACCCCTGTTGGGTGGTTTTGCTCCTCCGTTTTTGACAACATTAGAAGGAGAAAAGGAGACAAACTAGTCAAAAGTAGGTAAAAGTGAACTGGCCGTTGGGTACTTTTTTCTTACCGTGTACGAATACAGCACCCCACACGAATAAAGCCCTACAGTAAAAGTATGGACGACTGACACCACAAAACTGAAAAAAGCTGTTCCAATCCAATGAGCTGGATTACCGAGGTGAAGCAATCACTCACACAACCACTGTACGATACACGCAAGTACACGCAAGTAGTGACGTCACTACTTGCGTTTACGTTGATTTTTTGGTTTACTAATACAACCCTATTTCACGATCTGCGCCACCTCTCTCTGTACCTCATTGGTTCCAATCGAGCAAAGCGGTGCATTTTGACGGTTCGATTGGAACAACTTTTGACAGACGTCCATACTTTTACTGTAGGGCTTTACACACGAATTGCCGGCGACAAAGTGACGTCATTTGACATTGGGCGACTTAAAGACTGACGTTTTTAAATTGGTGTGTTTTTTTTTTTGTCGTGCGCTCAGCCATCTTGTCTGGTTTGTTTATAAACAAACTAGACAAGATGGCTGAGTGCACGGAGCGCACCGCAAATTCCTTCACCCGAGCCGCGAAGGAAAGTAGCAACTTTAACAGTAAGTATTCAAATATTTGTTATATTTAGTGTTATTATTTGTAATTTCTCATCCGGATTTCTCATGATGTAATTATTTTCAAAAATTGATCCGGTTGAGATAAGCATCCTTGCTGATGCAACGCATCAACAAGGATGTTTAACTCATCAGGATTCCTCCAGCGGATCAATTTTGAAAAATAATGACAAATTCTAACAAACATCCAAAATTTTGATTAATTTGTATTTTTTTTTTCAGCCGGCTGCTTCCAATAATTCCGGATTGGGACGTGTACGGAAATTGAATAGAGGTAGGTACAGTTTTTATTAAGTGTAATTATTTTTAAAAATTGATCCGCTGGAGGAATCTGACTGAGTTAAGCATCCTTACTGATGCAACGCATCAAAAAGGATGTTTCTCATCCGGATTCCTCCAGCGGATCAATTTTGATGTAACTTTTTTCCAAAAATTGATCCGCTGGAGGAATCCGACGGATTTCATTGACTGATGCAAAGCATCAACAAGGATGATTAACTCATCCGGATTCCTCCAACGGATCAATTTTGATGTTACTATTTTCCAAAATTGATCCGCTGGAGGAATCCGGCTGAGTTAAGCATCCTTGCTGATGCAACGCATCAACAAGGATGTTTAACTCATCCGGATTCCTCCAGCGGATCAATTTTGAAAAATAATTACAAATTCTAACAAACAGATCCAAAATTTTGATTATTTTGTAATTGTTTTTTTTTTCAGCCGCCTGCTTCCAATAATTCCGGAGGTGTTCGGGAATAGAGGTAAGTATTGAACAATTTGTTATTAAGTGTAATAATTTTTTTTTTAAATTGATCCGCTGGAGGAATCTGGCTGAGTTAAGCATCCTTATTGTAAGGATGTTTAACTCATCCGGATTCCTCCAGCGGATCAATTGTGATGTATTTTTTTTTTCCAAAAATTGATCCGCTGGAGGAATCCGGCGGATTTAATTGACTGATGCAAAGCATCAACAAGGATGATTAACTCATCCGGATTCCTCCAACGGATCAATTTTGATGTAACTATTTTCCAAAATTGATCCGCAGGAGGAATCCGGCTGAGTTAAGCATCCTTACTGATGTAACGCATTCCGATACCGGATCCCGATGTTTATGTTTAAGTTAAAGTTTTATTATAGTTAAGTAAAATTTAAAGTTAAGTTAAATTAAGTATGTAACAACTAAATTTAAGTTAAAATTATGTTAAAGTAAAAGTTATGTTGATGGTAAGATAAACTTATGTTAAAGTAAAAGTTAAAATTTATTTAAAGTTACGTTAAAGGTAAGTTAGAGTTAAGTTAAGGTTACGTTTAAGTTAAGTTAAAGTTATGTTTAAGTTAAGATAAAGTAAAGTTAAAGTTATGTGTAAGATAAAGTTAAGTTAAAGTTATGTTGAAGTTAAGTTAACGTTAAGTTAAAGTTAAGTAAAATTTAAGTTAATGTTAAGTTAACGGTAAGTTAAAATTATGTTAAGTAGAAGTTTATTCAAATTTAGTTATAAGTTATGTTAACGTTAAATTTAAATTAAATTTATGTTAAAGTTAAGTTTAAGTTATGATAATGTTAAGTTATCATTAATTTAAAATTAAAGTTGTGTTAAAGTTAAAGTTATGTTCAAGTTAAGTTAAAGTTAAGTTATGTTACCGTTATGTTAAAGTTATCTTAAAGATAAGTTAAAGTTAATTTAAAGTTATGTTATGTTAAAGTTAAAGTTAAGTTTAAGCTATGTGAATGCGAAGTTAAAATTAAGTTATGTTAAAATTAAGTTAGAGTTATGTTTATGCTTAAGTTAAGTTAAGCTTCAGTTAATGTTAGGTTAAAGTTATGTTAAATTTAAGTTAAAATTACGTTGAGGTTATGTTAAAGTTTAGTTAGAGCTAAAGTTAAGTTAAAGATATGTTAAGTATATGTTAGGTTAAAGTTAAGTTAAATTTATGTTAAATTTAAGTTAAAATTTCAAGTTAAGTAAAGATTAAGTTAAGGTTATGTTGTAGTTTAGTTAAAGTTAAGTTAAAGTTAGGTTAAAGTTATGTTAAATTTAAAGTTATGATAATGTTAAGTTATAATTAATTTAAAATTAAAGTAACGTTCAAGTTAAGTTAAAATTGAGTTAAAGTTGAGCACAATTTAAGTTCATGTTTAGTTCAATTATGTTATGTTAAGGTTTATTCAAACTAAAGTATAAGTTATGTTAAAATTAAAGTTATTATAAAGTTAAAGTTAAGTTGATTTTATGATAATGTTAAGTTTTTTTGAATCATTCATTAAGTTTAAAAGTGATGTTAAAGTTAAAGTTATTTTGAAGTTAAAGTTAAAGTTATTTTAAAGTTAAAGTTATGTTTA